TGACAGTAATGTGAAATAAATAAAATGGAGATGTTGAATTGCATTTGCATGATCGGATGGGTTTACTCCATCTTCGACTTCTCTGTGTTTCATACGTTTCCTACAGACAGCATGTTAAGAGGATTGTTTTTAAATAGGAAGAAATCAATGTTTTTTTATTTTTATTTATTTATTTATTTTTAAATCCCACGGCTCCTCCTTGCTGTTTCCTGAGCACACACAGCATGCAGGGCATATGGCGGGGCCTCACAACGGCCAGACAGTGGCTGGATCTGGTTTTTGCCCCAGGCTGGATGTGCTAGGGCCACCGGAGTGAGCGCGAGTCAAGGTCTGGGCATCCCCCATGAAACGGTGGGCCGTTTCCCTCCTCCCCTGTCTGTGTTTGTCCAGGTATCCCAGCAGCTCTCAAAGAGCCCCTGCCTGGCGAACCCTTCTAGGAGCCGTGGGGCAGTGGACTTGGCAGGGCGGAGGGGTCTAGGTCCCGGTGAGGACTCGCGTCTCCATTTGCCCTAAAGAAGCTCTGTGTGACAAAACATTCCGGAGCGATGGAAATGTTCCCTCTCTGCACTGTCCCATATGGTAGCCATCAGCCACGTGTGGCTGCAGAGGAGGCGGTATCAGGGCAGGATGGGCAGGGACTCAGGTTGGTGGCCTCTGTCCATCCTCCCGGCCCCAGCCAGGTTTGCTCTTTACTTTGGTGAACTCTTAGCACAGTGCAGAGGCTCCAGGAGGGCAGCAAGGGCACAGCGCTTGCTTTCCCCTCTCTGCCATCTCCCCTGCAGCAAACACAGAGCCTGGCCCGCAGTGAACAAGGGCAGTAGCCCTCATGCCCATCACGTGAATAAGATGTGGCCCCTGGCATGACTGGCCCCTTCCTGACAATGGAATGCACTCATCCATTCTGAGGAACGACCCACTCAAGCCCAGCCTGGCACCTTCTGTCCCTACCTGTCAAGCTTTCACACTGGAGCCCACCTCATCACAGAACACATCTTCAAATAGCTGTGACCAGTCAGCCCTCTTTGGGGCTTCTCTTCAGGATTGTTCTCTGCGGGAGCCCAAGCTGATGCATCAGTGGCCTTGTGCCACCAGGGAGTGGGTGTGGGAGGTGGCTTCAGGGTCCGTGTGAGGACTCGGGTTTCCATTTCCTGTAAGGCAGCTCTGTGTAACAGAACATTCTGGAGGGATGAAAAATGTCTGTGATGGTAGCCACCAGCCTTACGCACCTGGGGAAGTGCATTCTAATAAAAACTTGCACAGCACAGCTGGAGAAAGTGCCTTGAGCCTGTGGCCTCAGGGGACAACTTCCCATTGGAAGAAAATGGTTGCTCATTTCCTGAGGGACCCACCTACAGAACAAGAGAGGCTGGCTCAGGACCACTTTAAATATGGTGCTCCCCAAGGACACTGAGACATACCCGCTTTGCACAACTTTGATTTGGAAGCCAGATTCCGGAAACCTCCTCGTGCTCAGAGTCCTGCCAGTCCCAAGATTCCCCAACCAGTGGCATTTCCACCCTTGTCCTGTTGCTCTGATTCGACTTGTCCCTTTCCCAACCGTGGGCAGTCCAGGATGCCCGAATTCCCCTGCATTTGAGAGCTTCCTTCCCTCTGCCCCGGTGACAGTGACGTGTGGCTCTGATCCTTCTCTGCAGGCTCCCAGGCCCGCTGCCAGCACCGCCCACCCAACAGAAGGAGCCCAGGCAGGGGAGGGCCTTCTAGCTAGGCACCGCTTGGCCTAGCTTCTGCCAGCTTAGCCAGGGCAGGGAAGGGAGGAGCCCTGTGAATGCTCCGGGTCTCTGCTTTGCATACCCAGCCCGGGGCATTGCTGGGGAGCTTGCTGCAAAGTCACAGCGAGAGCCCAGTGCCTCGGCCCATCTCAGAGACGGCAGTGGTGAGGTTCACAAGTGCTTAGACGGAAGCATCTGCCCTCGGCGCCACAGCCCAGGTCCCTTTACATGCACCACCAGTGCCTCGGAGTGCCCTGAAGGGGCCATGAGTGCAAAGCGAATCAGTCCCTGGCTTGCTGGAGATTGATCTAAATCCACCTGTTGTCCATTTCTCTCAGTGGGTAGATGGGGTAGAGGTGCATGTTCTTCTCAGGAATCCCCGGCCTCAGCCCACAGGGCTGGGGTTACCCTAGACAGTGAGTTCACAAGAACCGCGTTCTATTCTGCTGACTTCTGCACACACTTCTGGAGATACAGGAACAAATGGCTACATGCACAGACCAGACTCTGGAGCCTGATGGACTGCATTCCAGCCCCGGATTTGCTACCTACCGGCTGTGTGACCTTGGGCAAGTTACCTAACCTCTCTGGGTCTCACTCTCATTTGCGAAATGGGGATACAATCATTTATTGTTGTTTCAATTAAGTGGGCAAGGGAATGTCTGCATAGCACTCAGTATCTGACATAAAGTGACTGCCATTATAACTATTGTCATTGTTGACATTATTTGATGTGCTGCTGACCGCTGATGGAGACAGTGGCCATTGATGAAATACACAAGCCATCAATTTAAAATCAGAAGGGAGTTCATTTATGCTGATGACTTCCTCTGTGAGGTGGGTGAGGAGGTGCAAAGGCCAGAGGAAGCTCTGCCTGGTTCTGCTGGCTGCAAGATGCCCAGCGGGTACTCAGCTCTCAGAAGCCCCTGGGGCTCAGGGGCACCCTCATCCTGTTTACTGGACAGGCAAGGGGCCCCTCTCCACAAGACATCCTCAGAGGGGCCTCCGAAGCTGACCTCGGCACTCCATGGCTGCATCCCTGGGCTGAGAGCAGCTGTTCTGGGATGGAGAGCACTCACTGACTCACAGGCTTGGCTTCTCCCGATAGTGAATGATTCAACCTCCGAAGCTCCAGCTCACCCAGGCCCACCCCCACCTCCCTGGATCTGGAAGGGACTTGGCCAAGGTCACAAAGACCATCAGGCATGGAGCTGCTTTGGGGGGCCGGTTGCGGCATCTCTTCTGCCTGGCGTCACGGCTGTCCCCTGGTATGCTCTTAGCCTTGGGGACTTCCTTCCTCAAAGGACCGGCTCTCCTTCTGGCTCTGTGCAAAGCCCCCTCCCACGCCTGCCCCACTTCCATCTGCCTGTTACCCCCTGCTGTGTGAGAGCATGCTTGCCCCTGCGCTCAAACCACCTGGCCTTGCTGGGCACGGCCCAGGTGGAGCTGATGGAGACTGGCTGTGTCCTTGGCCTTTCCCTGCCTTGGGGCCAGCAGCAGGGACAATCAATGGCCCGGGACCACAACTGCCCAGCACTTTCTGATGGCGCAGACTCGAGGGCCTGACCTCACCCTGGGACCCTTTACTGAGTCTCAGCTGAGCCATGAAGGGGCCTGGGCACCCCCAGCCCTCTCCTCAGCTTCCCAACTCCTCTCTCACGAGCCACATGGCTTTGGTTTCCTCATCTGTGAAAAGTGTGTGTATGGGGGATGAAAACAGCCGTTTATTCGTGTGGTTGATATGAGACTCAGATGGAGCTCAGGAAGTGGGGCTGGCCTTTGATTATGAAGATAACCTCTCCCCCCACCACCAGGACTACAGGAACGTCCCCAGTCATCTACTCATGAAGGAAGGAGCCTCAATTCAGGGCCGAGTCCCTTCTCCTCTTTCGGGCCTCAATGATCCCATCTGAAAAACGGGGACAAATACCCAGGCCTTGCGTCTCCTGTTCAGTGAGTCTGCAGATTCAGTGAGGTCAAGGTCATGAATATGCCATGCAGAAACCAGGTGCCCACTCTGTGCCAGGCCTGTGCTGGGCACTCGAGCAGCCCGTGCAAGTTAAGAGCCAGTCCCTGCCTTAACATGGTCACTGACTAGTGACGGGTGATGGCAGGGGTGAGGGTACAGAGCCTAGTGGGCAAAGGAGGGGAGGAGGTGCCCAAGTCAGCCAGGGGAAGTAGGCTAACTTGTAGGGTGCCAGCAGAATTCAGGATGGGGGCCAGCTGGGGACAGGCTGGACTTGACCCTTGGGCACACGGGGGACTCCCTTGAGGTCTGAGGCCCTGGAGCTTCATCTTTGAAAGTTATATGGCCGAACCAGGAAATAGCAAGCGTCTAGTTGAGGAATTCTGATCCCTTCCCTGCCCCTTGAGTGAGCGAAGGAGTCTTTCCACAGTCTCTCCCAAACCCTCAAGGAGCCCTCACCCTGGAGGGCTCTCCAAGACTCCCTCCAGGCCTGGCCTGCCTTACCTCCCACCCCTTCTCAGCCAGCTGGCTGAGCCACTAACTCCCAGAAGGGCCGGCAGAGGGAAGGAGACCAGGTCCTAGATAGAGCAGCCCATCATCTCAGGGTCTGGGAGATGCGGCACCTGCCATTCCAAATTCCAGAATCTTAAAGCCAAAGCTTTCACCCGTGAGAAAACGGAGGTAGCCACGGTAAAAGCTGGCTGGCCAAGGTCACAGAGGCGAGGAGTGGGAGACAGCTGTTCCTGGAGGGATGGAGAAGTTACCTAAGTGCGCCCCGGGCGGCTCCTCTTGGGCACTGCCCATGACCGCGGCGGGGTCTCCTGGGCAGCCGCGTGGGCATGTGGGGGACGGTGTGGGAACGCGAGAGGGGGAGGATGGATACAGTGTGAGGGTGCCGGGGGAGGGAGTGCCCGAGGCTCCGGGAAGGTGCGTGCGCACCCGCGGGCTCCCGGCCCAGATCCCGCGCCCCCGGCTGTGCCCACCCTGAGCCTCAGCCCGAAGCCCCCAACGGCCTTGTTCTTCAGACACGGATGCGCCTGCGCGCGCGATGCGGAGCGCAGGGCGCAGGGTGCAGGATGCCGGGCGCTGCCCGCCGGCCTGGGGCCCCCGGGTAACTCGCAGCCGCGGTGCCGCAAGGACACGCAGGCCCCGCGCGGGGCGCAGGTGCCTCGGCCGGGGACCCGCGTCCCCCCACCTGCCGCCGCGCCACCTGCTGGGCCACCCTCCGGCCCCCGCCTGCGCCTATGCCCGCGCCGCGCCCGCGCCCACCCCGGTGGCGCCCGCGCGCCCCGAGCACCACTTACCCGGGCATGGGCACGGCCGCCGCTGCGGCCTCGGCTCCTGCGGGCGCTGTCGCTGAGGGCGAGCGCCCGGCGGGCAACGATCCTCTCCAAGGACGGAAAGGCCCGGGCACGGGGCGGCCTGGCCGGCGGCGCGGCACGCAACCCTCCGCGGCGGGCGAGGGCTGCGGCGGAGTGCTCCCCACGCTCTGCACTAGCGGCGGGCGACGCGGCGCGCTCGACTCCAGCCGCAGCTCTGAGCGCGGAGGGAGGGAGGGGGGTGGGGGAGGGAGCCGGAGGAGGAGGAGGGAGGGAGGAGGGAGCGGGCGCGGGGGGCGGTGCGCGGCGCAGGGGCCTTGGGGCTCCCGAGCCACGCGCCCGGTGTCCGCCCTTCTGTCCCCAGGACGCGCGGGGATGCCCGCCCTTCCTGACCTGGCATTTCCCTCAAAGGGCACTGGCCGAGTTGGGGGTGGGTGGGGCTGGAAACTGGGGGATCGTGGCACCTGTGACTGCAGAGAGAGCACCCCGAGTGAGCTTGCGACTGGGGCAAAAGGCTGGCGCTACGTCTCCAGACCCCTGCACTCTAGGTGCATCCCCCAACAGGAATATGGGGCGTGGAGCCGGGTGGTTAATGTGCAGTGTGGGGTCCTTGGGCCTTGCCGCAGTGGGCTCCAAGCCACTGGTGAGCTCCTGCAGCCTCCACTACCTGTGGAGAGTTCCGGCATCCCAGAGGAAGCTGTGTTTACCAGAGATCCTCACCACGGGTGATGGCAAAAGATGATCCCGGGAGCACCGTTAGGCAGGACACAGACCGCACACAGGTGGGCGCCAGAGCCAGACACGCTGTGAGTGGAAACAGACACACAGACAAACCCCAGGGCAGACACCTGGCCACGCCCACAAGCACGAGTTCCCACCTACCTGGACAGAGACCCCAGTGCCTGCCTCGGACTCCCAGGCTTCCTAGCTCCAGGGCCAGTGGAGGCCTCTGACCCCCGGGTGGCCTTTGCCAGCATTCTGAGCATAGAGCAGAGGCGGGGCTGGGGCACAGGTAGGGGGTCAGGGCGGGAGCCTGGGGCAGGTGCAGGAGGCCTGGACACAGCCTCGAATTCTTTCTTGCCTTGGACAAATAGGGCCCCGGGCATCCTGTGTGCCAGACCAGAGCTGAGCACTGGGAACAGCGGGGACCACAAAACAGGGAGTGGCCAGCAGATGGCAAATGCACCCGCACTGCTGTGGGCAGGGCCACGGGACCCATTGATGGGGAGCCACGAAAGAGGGTGCTGGTGGGTCAGGAAAGGTCTCTTTGAGGAGGTACCACTGTGCTAGAGACCAAAAGGACACGAAGGTTCTGCTGCCCCTGCAACCACGGAACTGGCACAACCCCCACAGACTGCCCCTCCCTTCCCCAGGAAGTAGCTGGTTCAGTGGAAAGCCAGTGAGATCTGCCATCCCAGAGCCAGGCCCAACGCCCTGGCACCTCTCAGTGTGGGCTGAGGTTCACACACACACATGCACACACCTGCTCACATATGCGCTCACACAGTCTTACACCCACTCAAAGGCACACCCACACTCTCCCCGGCTCCAATGCACACACACATACTCACACCTGCTCCTATGCACGAACTCATGCACACTCGCCCGCTTTCACAAGCACACTCACACACTCATGCACACACTCTCACAATGTCTCCCACACATGCATCCTCACGCTCAGATGTGCTCACACACCCTCACCCACACATGCTCAGTGGCCCACACAGTTACATAGGGATTCATGCATAGCTGCATGCTCTCACAGCTACACAACTCACACAGTCACCCGGTGAGCACACACAAGGGCACACACATACACACTCACAGTCACAAACACACTCTCCCCACTCAGTTTGCACACACAGTGACACACACACATTCGTTCACACACTCACACAGTCCCTTCCACTCCAACTCCAGCGAAGCTTTTCTCGTGTGTTGACTCCTGCAACCCTAGAGCCTGGGGCATATGCGGGGGTCAGACAGGCTGCTCCTCAGGGCCCGGAGCCACCGTCAGGGCACCCCTGGCCCCTTCCCCCACACACAGGCTGTGACTTCTCATGGCCCCAGATGGGAAAAATCAGGACTGAAGCAAGCCCCAATCATGCTGGAAACTTGTCATGAGCTGAGTTCTGGCCCTTGCATGAGAGCCCTGCCATCTTGGAGGAGGTGGTCATCTTACCACCCCACATTCCAGATGGGGGAGGGGAGGCCCAGAGGGCACCAGATCCCACGAGGGGCAGGTTGGAAGCCGGACTTTGGCCCCTGGCACCACAGAAGGGCAGAGGAGCTGTGAGCTCCGGAGTGTCTCCCAGGGGCCCGTGGCCTCCTTTCTCCCGAGCATTCAGGTTGTGTCCCTTCTTGGCTTCCCACAGGCCCCCTGGGGTCATGTCCTTCCACCTCAGGCCCCAGGGCCCTGCTCCAGTGAGCAAAGGCAGAGGCAGCCTGCTGAGCCGGCCTCCTTTGGTGGCCCCCAGCAGGAGCAACCCTTGGGCAAGGGGTGGGTCCTGGCTGAAGGCAAACACCTCTTAGCGGACATGTGTGGGCAGCTCTGGGAGGCAGGCTGTGGGGCTGGGGAGACCAACACTTAAAGGCTTAGGAGTGGCCGTGAGAGCTGACAAGAAGAGAGGACTCCCATTGGGCTGCGCCACTGGTCACCGTCTTCTCTCTGGGACCAGCGAACACAGTGAGCACTCCTTGAGGATGGAGGTTGTTCATTTAACTGATGGCTGCTATCCACATGGGGGCATCTCCCTGAGCTTGGAGTAGCTGCTGCCTGGGCTGGGTGTTTCTGCATCTCCCACTCCGTGCTCTCTGACCTCGGTCTTAGCACATGCCCTCTCTGGCCAGGGGGAGGAAGCAAGTTCCTGGGAGAAATTCTGAGGCGGGGTTACCTCTTCTCCCGGGCCCCCAGGGCGCTGCTCAAGGACTGATCCAGCCAAGAGCTGGCCGTGGTGCATACCTTTGTGATGAGTCTCGCGGAGGCCAGGGTCAGATGGCCGGGGAACAAAGTGTCATGGAAGTCCCCAGTCCTCACCAATCGTGGTCCCTAAGCAGCCAATGGACAGGTGAGGGGATGGTCCTTTTTCTGTGGTTTGCATCTGTTGGTTCCCGGTACAGAGCACCGGGGCTGGGAGGAAGGCCCCAGGCCTGGGAATGAGGACACCTCAGTGTCACTGGTGATCCTTGCTCACTGGCCAGCCCCTCTTGGATCCTGCATCAGTCAAAAGGTGGGGGCTTTGCTGCAGAGTGCTCCCACACACCAAGTCCTGTCGTCCGCACTGGAGTTACTTGGGGAGCCAATCTCCCACATTGCCAACGACTGCACGGCAATACAGACAGCTCAAAGGCTCTCTCAGCCCAAGATACCAAAGCCATTGGGAGCTCCCCGCGCTCAGCCATTGCCCGCCATCCCGCCCGGCTGCCTCGCCCCCAGTCTCACCTCTCTCCTCTCTCAGCACCTGCCTCCAGCCCCTTCAGCAACCGCTCCCCTCCCACGACTTCTTTCTCTCCCACCTCCTTGGCCCCTGTCTGGTCACCAGGCCCTTCCTCTCCTGGGCCTCTGGGCCATGCCCCTTCCTTGCCCAGGTCCCTCCTGCCACTGTTGGGACAGCAACTCCTTTGCCAGCCCTGAAGTGAGGGTCCCTTTGGCTGGGCCTGGGCCCCCCACCCCCGGCCTTCTCCTGCCCACTCTTTCCCTGGCTGAGGTCCCAGCCTCTACCCCAAGGCTTCAGGGGCCGAGTCCCAACCCCGGGAACCGGAATGCAGCCTTATTTGAAAATCGGGTGTTTGGAGAGGTGATCAAGTGAAGGACCTTGAGATGGGGGATTACCCTGCAGGTGACGACAAGTATCCTTACAAGAGGGAGATTTCATACACACGCACACGCACACGCACACACACACATAGAAACACACACACATATGCACCCACCCCCACACATACACACACATATGTACACACTTGCAAACATGCACACACCGCACACGTACACCAACAGAAACACATACACACATTGCACACACACATACATGTACGCACACACATGCAGTCACACACACAGTCACACACACACAAACATGCTCACACATACACATGCACACACACATGCTGACCCCCACATAGTCGCACACACACGCTCACACACATATACACTCACAGAAACACACACATACACAAACACATGCACCCCCCCACACACAAAGCCGTGTGATTGCAGAGGCAGAGTGGAGTGAGGCAGCCACAAGCCCAGGATGCCTGGAGCCTGTTGGAGCTCGGAGAGGCAGGAACGAGTCTTCCCTAGAGCCTCTGGGGGGGCGTGGCCCTGAGACACCTGGATTTGGCACTTCCGGCCTCCAGGACTGGGAGAGGATCCACTTCCTCTGTGGTGAGCCACCCGGTTTGTGGTTATCCATGACAGCTGGGCCACCAAGGAGCTCTGCCCCGGCAGAGCCCTGCCCACGGCACACTTCAGGCCTCTTGCGCTGCTTGGCTTCAGTACATCCACTCCTGGTGGTTCTGGAAGGCTCTGGCTGGTGATGCAGTGTGTGTGTGTGTGTGTGTGTGTGTGCTGTGTGTGTGTGTGTGTGTGTGTGTGTGTGTTGTGCGTGTTCTCTGTGTGTTGTTTGTGCTGGTGTGTGTTGTGTGTCTGTTCTGTATGTGTTGTGTGTTGTGTGTGTTGTGTTGTGTGTGTTGTATGTTGTGTGTGGTGTGTTGTGTGTGTTGTGTGTGTGTGTAGTGTGGGCGTTGTGTGTGTGTTGTGTTGTGTGTTGTATGTATTGTGTCTTGTGTGTGGTGTGTGCTATGTTGTGTGTTATGTGCGTGCTGTGTTTTGTGTGTTATGTGTGTGGTGTGTTGTGTGTGTTGTATGTGTGTTGTGTGTGTTGTGTGTGTGTGGTGCATGTGTATTGTGTGTGTTGTGTTGTGTGTGTCTTGTGTGTTGTGTGTTGTGTTTGTGTGTGAGATGGTTCTTTGAGCATAACTCCTGCCAGTGCAGCTCCAGTATCAGGGTCCCAGAGCGGCTGTGCCTTCCCAGAAGCTGAGGGAGACAAGGGCTCTCTGCTGGCAATGGTGCCCTGCCCTGGCTGTCCAGAGTGGCAGGCAGAGGTTTGGCCTCTTCCTGTGGTCATGGCCTCCTCAGACTAGAGTTGGAGCCCACGGGAGCAGAGTCTGGAGACCAGGCCACTGCCAAGTCCTCAAAGCAGCCCCTCTGCCTTGGC